CTCCTGAAATGGGGAAAAAATTGGGGAAAATGAGAAAAAAATGGGAAAAAACGGGAAAAAATGGGAATTTAGGGCTTCAGAGTGAGCGGGTAAAGCCCGGCCCCGCCTGCTCCTCGTGCGCCCGGCGCCTGCTCCAGCGCCTCCTCGTCCTCCCGGCTCCTAAAAATGGGGGAAAAATGGGAAATTTGGGTCAAAAATTGGGAAAAATGGGAAAAAAACGGGGATTTAGAGTGACCAGGAGTGACCAGGAGTGAGCAGGAGTGACTGGGTAAAGCCCGGCCCCGCTGCTGCTCCTCGTGCGCCTGGCGCGCCTGCTCCAGCGCATCCTCGTCCTCCCGGCTCCTAAATTGGGGAAAAAATTGGGGAAAATGAGAAAAAGTGGGAAAAAATGGGGATTTAGAGTGACTGAGAGTGACCAGGAGTGAGCGGGTAAAGCCCGGCCCCGCCTGCTCCTCGTGCGCCCGGCGCGCCTGCTCCAGCGCATCCTCGTCATCCCGGCTCCTGGAAATGGGGAAAATGGGTCAAAAAAATGGAAATTTGGGAAAAATCAGGGGTTTAGAGTGACCAGGAGTGAGCAGGAGTGAGCAGGAGTGAACAGGAGTGAGCGGGTAAATCCCAGCCCCGCCTGCTCCTCGTGCGCCCGGCGCCTGCTCCAGCGCATCCTCGTCCTCCCGGCTCCTGGAAACGGGAAATTTGGGTTAAAAAAATGGGAATTTGGGAAAAAATGGGAATTTACAGTGACTGGGATGGACTGGGATGGACTGGGATGGACTGGGAGTGAGCGGGTAAATCCCAGCCCCGCCTGCTCCTCGTGCGCCTGGCGCCTGCTCCAGCGCATCCTCGTCCTCCCGGCTCCTGGAAATGGGGGAAAAATGGGAAATTTGGGTCAAAAGTTGGGAAAAATGGGCAAAAACGGGGATTTAGAGTGACCAGGAGTGACCAGGAGTGACGGGAACAGCGCGGCGCTGCTGCTCCTCGTGCGCCCGGCGCCTGCTCCAGCGC